GCCAAAAGACATTAGTCAGTTGATTTACATGTATTGGTTATATAGAAAATTAGAGTAATAAAATTTCAGATAGACTTTATTTAAAACTTTATATAGTACTTTGTTAATTCAATCAATAGTAATAAAACTCGTATGTGTAAATAATACTCCATTTTGTTTTTTTTTTTTGTCAACAAATAGTACTCCACTATATACACAAATATACAAATATACAAATATTAATTTAGAGACTGCCAAGTCAACATTGAGGCACTGAGTCAGATGCAGCTGTCCCCGAGTCGGTGGAACGTAAAAATTAATTACTTAAGTTCCAACTGAATTTCTCTATTTGACCAAAATCTCCACGTGATCTTCACGTGATCCCTTTTGAACATTTCATTTTTTTTTTCCCCTTTGATACAATTTTTTTGTTTTCTGTTAAATTCCATTGATCAATTGGTTAGATGTTATAGTATTGATTACATCTACATAAGTAGACATGACGTAGAGAAGTTTGTTGAGATAAGATTATTTAATCAACTAACTTATTTTCTATTTCTCTGTTACTCTTTTAAATTTTCTTAGGTTTCTATATTTATATTTATCGCTGTCTCAACTAATCATAAATAAAACAATACATATCTCCAATATATTAAAGTGGAAGCACTATTGGACACTTGGCAGTTCTAGGATTAAAGTTGGTATTTAGCTACATTATTAATTCGTTTAATTTTAATTCTCCTAGTATCTTTATAGCCAAACAGACCGTTATTTCCTAAATCACATTTAACTGCAATAAATTTTTCAAACACGTCTTCTTCATATATTTTAAAATATTTTCGAATATTCAACATTAAATTCCTTCGTTCCTATAATTTTTAAAGATTAATATATTCCTAGAGGAAATTCCTAAACAACTAATAGCAATATTTTAAAATTCAAACGGATTAAGTAAGTTTCTATATTTTGGCATATTCTACATTGAATTCTTTGTTTTCTATATTTTCGAAACGTAATATTTTCCTAGATACATGTTTTCAAACTTTATTTATCATAATTAAAACTTTCAACGGATTAAGTAAGTATCTATATATTTACGCATTTC